AAAAAAAAAAAGATTTATCCCTATTTGTAGAACTCAAACATGTTTTATTCATCTTTGTACATGTTTGCTATATTTTTTTTTAATTTTTAATTTTCTTAAAAAAAATATGACATTCAAAATAAAATGATGCATCAATCATTTATAAATTATAAAACAATTCATTTTGGAATAAATAATAAACAAAATCAGAAATAATTAAAATAAGTATATTTTTAGTTAAAAATACAAAATGACATCAATATGTAATTTAATTATGTTTATTTGCATATGAGGAGATTACATGCCTGTTGATGCTTGACAGCGTCTGTTCGAACGCCAAAAGGTGCCACTGTATTTGTTCGAATATTGTCCTTGGCCCATTCACAGGCCAAATTCTTGGTCAGTTGATTTATAGCACCTGAAAATTGAACAAATATATCCAATTTATGAGTGAAAATTGATTTATTATCGAGGTGTTAGATAACACACTTGGGCTCGTAAAAGTTTGAGATTAGCTCGTTGGTTTAAATTGAATGAGCCCAGAACAAGTTTATCTGTTAACGAGAGCTGAGCACGTTCGCAAAGATCTATTTTTTTTTTTTTTTTTGAATACAAGTTTCGAACGAACATCTTGACACAATACTTGTTGACAAATGAACAAATTTTGGTTGTGAACTCAAACAAAAAATTTCTCATATATATTCTAACGGAAAATCTTACGATAATATATTTCAATGGTATAGCTTCCGTTGAATCATTCTAATGAAAATTCTAACGAAAACATTCTGCTAGGATATTGAAATTTGAGATTCCAATAACTATTTTCCCAATTGGAATATGCAATTTCTATTGAAATTTTATTTCTACCCATATTTCAACCATTGGAAAATCTATCATCGGAATCGTCAAAATTCAATAAAAATTCCAATAAAAAACTCATTTCAACAGAGTATTTTTGACTTTTTGTTGAAATTTCAGTTGAAATTCATTAAAAAATACCAAAGAAAATTCCATTGTAATTCTAAATTGCATTGAAATATCCATTAGAATTCTAAATTGCTGTTATAATTCCATTGTAACATATTTTTGTTAGAATTTCATAATTTTCTTATAGCGAAACAACTCGTTTACGATTTTTTTTTTAATTGAGCCTAGCTTGAGCAAAAGTTTTGACTCGCTTATTAAACGAGCTGAGCTGATTTGAGTCACCTCGTCTCAAACTAAAAATACATTCCAAGTAAGTAAATGAATATAAAATTTTTGCTGTCACCTTTTGATGCAGCATAGGCAGAGAGTGCAGGAAGTGCAATGGAGCCAGCCACAGAGGATATAAACACAATGTTTCCTGATTTAGAAGCTTTAAGTAGAGGATAACCCAATTGGGAAATATGATAAGGTGCCTCCAAATTTGTTCCAATAATCCGGCCCAAATCGTCGGCCGTGTGGTCGGAAGTTCGCTTCAGCATAGTCATTCCGGCATTGTTTACCTGACAATTATACCCAAAAAAAAAAAAAAAAAATTGTAAGTAAAAAACTGAAAACATAAATTTAATTCCATTCACACATTTCAAATGTGAGCATATTATTAGTTAATTTTAATGAGTTCTAAGTTTTGATTAAAATAGTGTTAATGATGTCACTGTAATAGGTAGATGTAACTACCAATGACATCACCTTATTCAAGATCAAGTTCATATATATCTGTCCACAAGTTCATTTAAATTTATATACTTGTGTCCAAAAAGTATTAAGTCATCTTCATCTAATTTGATCCATTATTGTGTGTGGCCAGGCAAAAGTAATGTGTTTTTTTTTCAATTGACTAAAATTAAATTTCACAAGAAATTGACTAAAAAATCGAATTTTGTTCATAAATCGACTCGTTAAAATTTCCGACAGAAGTTCGATCATTCGAACCAAATTTTTTCTTAAATTTGTAAATATTGAAAATTACAATGCTACTATATATTGGATTATTTGATCCAGCTCCAAAAATACTTTAAAAAATTACTCTTAAAAAGTTATTATATTAGTAACAAGTTTATGTATATGTTCATTTATCTGCATTACACACTTGGTATAATATTTGTTCAAAGATTAAAAACATATAAAATTGAAGCAAAAACACACACAAAAAAGTTTCATCTAATTTAATAATCTCAAATTGCCTAATTTCAATATCCTTTTAACATATGCTATTATTTATTTAAATATGCTGTATTAGTAAATTAAGTACTAATTACCAAGATATTGAGCTTGCCATCAAAAGCTATAGAAACATTTCTCATAAGCTCCTCTCTTTGTGTTCTTGAAGTCAAATCACAAACAAAACCTTTGACCTTAAACCCTTTGTCTTCCCATTCTTTAAGCCTCTCGTCGAGCTCGATTTTGTTTCTCGAGCACGTGTAAATGTTCGCGCCAAAACCGGCAAGCTCCTCGACTATGGCGTACCTATATAAATATTGGATTGATTCAATATAATCATAAATGAAAAACAAGCAAATGAAATGATCAAGAGAAGTTTGATTAGTTATATATTGTTATTAAAATTATTGAATAAAAATAAAATAAAATACCCAATTCCTTTTGTGCCACCAGTGACTAGAGCTGTCATGCCATGAAGAGACCATCTTTGTTGTCTGCTGCAACTTTGTTCTAATTTCTTGGACATTTTTTTTTTTTTTTTT